TTTTCTAATGCAGAATAATTCATAGTATATTCCTTACAGTTCGAGTCTCCTGCGCATCGAACACGGGCTGGCTGTTCCTTTTTCTTCGCCGGTGGTTCGGACTTCCGAGGAGGAACTAGCAAGTGCAAAATGGAAAGGAATATTCCCTCACAAGATGCTAGTCAATCTTTTATTAAACTAAGATGTGATTATACCGTAAGTTGAGTTAACTGTTCAAACTTGATTCTACAACTGCTAAGACTACGATTTGTACGTTGTCTTAAATACAGTATTCCTCAGCGCTACGCACGATGATAAACACTTTACTTTTGACGCAGTAAAAAAACAAGTGGGACATTTCTATCTTAACAGTATATGATTTCAGGTGTAACGTGAAAACTGCGTGTTATGATTCAGCCTAAATGCAGGGGAATCAATTGAGGAACCAACTTACAATGGTCCGCAAGTGTTGATGCAGAGCTGCTGCCACTACTGTCTATAAACAGAAAGTTAAAATAATTAAGCTTTGTATAAACGCCAACTTGCACTACTAAACATTCGAGTAAATATATCAGAATACACTTCTAGTTCATGGTTTTTCTAGCAGACGTTCTGGCCCAGTGTATTATAATAGGTCAGTTAGAAATTTGACAGCAACTATTTCCTCGGATTTGGGCATGTTCTTTTGCCTATGCAGAACCTAGTCTACAGGTAAATAGCAACTAAATTTCGGCATAAAAAAAATTGTTCTCACTTATTTTGGGCCGTTGTGTCGTGCTTTTGGAGCGACGTGAGTAATCTAGAAAATGTAAAAACGTTAGTGCAGTTGGTTGTGATGAAAGGGGTATTTTAAATATCCAAAAACTCCTCGCTTACCCTTTTTTGGGGCATATTCTCGTCGACGCTCACAGGATGCCTGCTCAGAAACTAAAAGTGTACGGTTTAGTCAGTGTATTAGTAACAGGCAAGTGTCTTAATCTGTAGTATAAAGAAAGCTTGTTGGGTTAGATGGGGGTCCATTTTGCTTCGTTTAGCTCTTTTTAGATGTGTGCATAAAAGTTTGTTTAAAACAAGGTTTCTAAACGTTTGGACGTACAGAATGTTGGTATATCATTCATGCTTTCGTGATGACGTCTGCTTTTGGTCCAACCTACAAGAGGAATTAATATTGACAAGATTATAGAAAAATCTTTACAATTTGTCTTTAAAATGGATTGCAGTTTATGTTAGAAAAAAGGCTGAGTACACTTAAATACCTCCTGTAGCTCTTATGAAATAGCATGA